CCCGCCCACCGGCTATACATCGCTGTCTGTTTAGCCCCGCCCACCAATTCTACATCGCTGTCTGTTTAGCCTCGCCCACCGGCTCTACATCGCTGTCTGTTTAGCCCCGCCCACCGGCTCTACATCGCTGTCTGTTTAGCCCCGCCCACCAATTCTACATCGCTGTGTGTTTAGCCCCACCCACCGGTTCTACTTAGCTGTCTCTTTAGCCCCGCCCACCGGCTCTACATCACTCTGTTTAGCCCCATCCACCAATTCTACATCGCTGTCTGTTTAGCCCCGCCCACAGGTTCTACACATCTGTGTCTATTGAAAACTAAAAGATGACGCTGTGTGACTATATTGAATCTGACAGTAATGTCACAACACAAGTGTGAGTAACTGTTTTCATTACATGATCACTATTGCTTTGTCTGTTGAACATATCGTTTGATATGTAGTTATTTATGTGTTTTTGACCAAAATCACAGCAGCGTCCATCTGTGAGGAATGTACAGTCAAACACACACAACAATCCTCCACATCTATTCAAACAGAGTGTTCTGATGAGGGGTCAAAACAGCACTGAAAATAGCCTATTACTTCTAAATTATGATGTTTTTGATGTATAAATCTTGAGTACATCAGAGAGCAGTGCAAAATAAAAACAGAGGCAGCTCATGACCCCTTTAATGGAGGTTTGTTTCTCTCTTACCTTTTCTTTCTGGTGTTCGTTGAGAATCACAGAGAACAGGACCAGCACCGGATGACACAGGAACCACAGAAAACAGCCCTGAAACGACACACAGTGCCACTTAAGTGTTCATGGGAAGCAGACGGGAACAAACTCTGGTTTAGGCTGCATTCTGTCCGGTTTTTAAACACTGTGTCTGTCTACCAGCACACGCTTCAGCTGGACACTCATTTGTCCTCCTTTTAAGATCATCACTGTTTTATACTCTATCCAGTTTTATATCACTAATAAATAAACAGATTAAAACACAGGCCAAGTTTAAGCTAATATTAAGTGACATTTTAAACAGAACATTGACTGTTTTTGCTCCAAAATAGTTGCGAGTCACAGCAGAACGTTTGAGTCTCCAGTCAACACAGTGGTGTTTCGTTACTCAATGATTCAACAAATGATTCAGTGACTCGTTCATAAAGACTTGATTCAGTTCTGAATGAATCAGCCGTTTGAACAAATCAGTTGAATGAATAAGACAGTGACTTGTTGCCATCTACTGGTGGTTTTGGGTTCAAATTTAGTTATTTCATTTTTTCCCCTAACATTTCATACTTCTATATTCTATATATAATGTATTAAAAACATTAATCTTATAACATTATTTATGCAGTCTGTGTGAATACACCTAAATGCCACTTCAGATGCTGCTTCTGCAGTGCAAAGATGTATTTTAATTAATTAATTGCACTTATATAAATAAAAAATGTAAAAATATAAATGAAAGACTCTTTTAAAAATATTAGAAATGTTGCGTAAAAAAATGCCCCTGGAAATCAATTTAAATATCATCCCTTAATGGAAAAGTTTCTGTCATTGCATATTTTTAAAGTCATAGTTCACCCAAAAATGAAAATTCTGTCATCATTTACTCATCATCATGCTGTACCAGTTTGTTTCTTCTGTTGAACACAAAATAAGATATATTGAAGAATGTCTGAAGCCAAACAGTTGCTGGTAGCCAGTATTTTTTTTCCATACAATGGAAGTCAATGGGTACCGTCAACTCTTTGGTTTCCCACATTCTTCAAAATACATTCTTCTATGTTCAAAAGAATAAAGAAACTCAAAGAGGTTTGGAACAACATGAGGGTGAGTAAATGATGATACAATTATAACTTTTTTCACTGTATCCTGCAGAATGTCCTTCTCTTTGTTGTGCTGCGTGTACCTTGCCGAAGCTCAGGTAGAAGTCTCGTTTGAGCGCGCTCCGCTCGGAGGAGATGATCTGATACAGCACCGACGCCAGGAGCAGAGCGAGCGCCACACGCAGCGCCATCAGCAGGCAGCCGGGAACACTGCGCGGAGCGTGAAAACTGTGGTGCTCTGATTCCTCCAGCTGCTCCCAGATCAGCAGCGCCCCCTGCAGACACAGCATGAGGGAATATAGATGCAGTTAATGAGCCAGTTTATGCACACTCTTGAGTACTTTACTCATTCAGCAGGTGTTTTTATCCAAACGAATGCATCAGTGATTGTGAGGTGGCTGATGCTCAGTGAGTTTTATATTTCTTATTCTATTATATGTGTATTTCATGGTTGTTGTGTGTTTGTGTGGCTGACCTGAGCGATGACGGCGGCCAGAGCGAGTGCGGTGGAAGTCGGAGACGAGTCCCACTGCAGCGGTTTACTCTGAGACTTTCTGCTGCGGCTCAGAGACCAGCCCACACACAGACTCAGCAGCAGGTAGAGCATCTGCACCTGCGCCACCACGTCACACACTGACACACACACACACACACAAACACACACAGAGACACACAAACACACACACACAGATACACACAAACAAACACACACACACACACACAGAG